CCCCCACCTTCAGACTTCCCAACCAATGAGCCAAACCCCCAACCCTCAAACTTAACACACACTCACACAAACTCACGCACAAACATACCCACATATAATTCATATTGAATATACCTGACCGCACATTCTACACATTTCACGCGGGTTTTAAATTCATTAATTTATTTTTTAAGAACCTCACACTTCTGATTTGAATTCTGCGATTTTCGTTATGCAATGAACTTAATTCACTTGCCTATAACGTGGCCATAGTCTGGATTAAAAAAGCAATGCATACACTCATCTCAAAGCCAACAGTGCAATGATCCGGATAAGAGAGAACCGGATGTCAGCCCAGCTCTTAGTGAGCAGAGAGCGGGTGTGTGGATCGAGGGCGTGACTGACATAAGGAACTCAGGGATCATGAGAGAGAGAGAGAGAGAGAGAGAGAGAGAGAGAGAGAGAGAGAGAGGGGGGGGGGTATGATATAAGAAACCCATTGCAAGAACTTAGCATGGGGTTTTAAAAAAACACGGGGTACGAAAAGAAAGTTTTTCTTTATCAGTCTTTTATGAAAACAAATAGCTGCATTGTCAGAAGAGAAGATGTACACTTTTCTCATATTACGTAACAACATTACATTCCAAATTATGGCCCAAGACGTATTGTTGAAGAGAAGAGTGGTTGTCTTTACCATGTGGACGTCTTGGACATATCATTGAAATACTTTTATATATCTCGTCCTTCAATGTCTGTCGATGACAAATACATCCGCAGAGGAGAATATTATTTCTTCAGCGAAATAGAGGGATTGAAGATTTACAGGTTACGAAGACTTTTTCGCTTTTGCTGTGGCCAATGAGACCAATTCTGGTAGAGAAAAGTGCGTCATATTTTGAACTTTTAAAGCCTCTACTTCCTCGTGTGATTGTGCGCAGCGTGTAGGCTTCTCTCTTTGTTTAATCATTTTTTTTTTATTCCTGAAGTTATTGCTGATCTACTCCGGGGTCTGTCAGGAGCAAGACTTTGTGTGAAGTCCTTCAGAGACATTTCATTTCAGGGTGTTCTTGTAGCACTTTTTGAGCTCTCACCTTATACTGCCATTATTATAATATTATTATTGCAACAACACAAGGGGGAAAGTGGGGACTGGTTATAAATAGAGCAGATTCCACTGCAGATAACATCATAGTAGCATTAATTGCAGTGTAGCGGTGAGGCAATTCGTCGTCAAATACAAAAATTGACTTCGCTCAAAGTGCGCAGGGAATTTTTATCCAGTGTCCGTCTTTTTAATGGCACCTTGTATTTCTTTTAACTCAAATTGACAAATGGCCCCTTTAGTGTAGAAAATTGTGTGGAAGGGGATATCAAGTATCTGCTATTACAATTTCAGTCGTAATGGTTTATGGTTTGTGCTGTTGCATCATCAATTGTCTACGGTACACCTTATGGCTTGTCCTACGGGAGGTCTTGTACTTTTTTCTTTTGGGCCAGTTGGTTATGTTGCTTACTCAAAACTGTAATTTTTTGTCCACCCTCCTTCTTCGCCTCTGTCAATTAGATAAATGTTTCAGGGCCAAGCAAGCTGTTCCAGATTGCATAACAAAACTTTTAAAATGTGGATATTTTTCCCTGCCACCAACACAATTTAGATCACTTTACAACATCCCTGCATAAAGACGGAAATACTCGATACCCCACCCCACCCCCTCTCATATACACACGCACACACAGACAACTAAGGAATCGAACTCGGTTATTCTGAAAACGACGTCGAAGCCTCTAACCACTACACCACAGACACCGGTGTCCCATCTGTGCGTGGACAATGTAATGTAACCAGCAACAAACCACCCACTGCTATAGCAACCTGACTTATAACATTTTCTGCTGGAGCTAATACCGTCCCATTTTTACTTTCGCGAGGAATGGGCAATAAACCTGTTGTAAGATCCTTTCATTTCCACACACGGTTATGCTTTATTGCCAACGAGGAAAGCGCGACTGTGTATTCCTTCTTTGTACAAATGTTCTTCCTACGGCTTATTTCCCCCGACCGGTCGCACCGTGATCATCATTGTGCAAGATTGCATCTCCTCAGGAGGCAGATTCGTTTTGCTATGTAAATGAAAATCGAAATGCAGCAACAGATTACAGTTAGCAAATAGGAATGGACGAACCTCGTCTGGCACCTCTTTGAAAATGGTAAATTATGTGAAGAAGAAAAACAAAAAGAACAACAGCAAGAGCAAAAGCAAAAACAAGAACAGAAAGAAGAACAAGAAGAAGAAGAAGAGGAAGCACATGCGGTAGTCTTTAAAATTCACTTTAATGTTTACCACACGAATATCTAGCATTCACAAAGCAATGCAGTTCCTAGTTATAACTGACACCAAATATCAAGAATAACAGGCCGTCCAAATATGTGTCGAAACGTACAATTATGGAACATAAAAATTAATAGTTTTGATACAACTGAGCACAATACTTTGTTGGGGATTTTTGTTTTTATTACATCGTTTCGCTTTTGACATTTGTATTCAAAGCAGACTAACGTAAAATCTTCAGATGAATGAGCAGGAATAGCAATGATGCCTTTTGCTTCAAAGGGAATTCTTGCGCACCATTGACGCAAGACTCGCTTCTAAATAATTTGTAACCTCTGCTCCAAATGCAGGTAAACATTAGGGGTCAAGTGTTGTTCTCCTTTTCACGTTCCCTGCCCTCCTTGCTATTCGATCGATTCTACTTTTGTTTTGTTTCCCACTATTATGTTTCATGACAGCACCGGCTGTTGACCTGTCGGGGGGAATTGTACAGATCAGTGGACCGAACAGTTGATCATAAAGCCTACCCCTGGGGTAGTGAAGGCTCTGGAAGGTTGATCATGCAGACTACTCTAAGCGGTATTACACTTGGGTGCACATTTTGCTTTAAAGATAATTGAAATGGTTTATGATGTGATCCCTAATAATGGGGTTAATTCACTTCGGAGAGAAAACAAGGCCAAAGAGTGTGGATAGTGTGTGTGTGAGATAAATAGAGAGACAGAGAGAGAGAGAGAGAGAGAGAGAGAGAGAGAGAGAGAGAGAGAGAGAGAGAGAGAGAGAGAGACTATATTTATTTGGTTTTTCTAATCTGGGTTTGCTATGACTTTGACATCTTGAGATTACGCTTTTACAATATTGCCCAGATTAAACGACTGGAATTCTCAATATTTCAAAGCGATTACATAATGTCACAGTAGTTTCTTAAAGTAAAACAAGTCTAAATCCATTATCCAGTTGCTTACATACTGTTATAGGTCTATAGTTTGAAGAGTTTTCTACAACTTATCATTTTGCTTTTTACTAAATCCTCATTCTCTTTCCTGTAACAAGTAAAAGAAGAACAAAAACACACTTCTGTAATTCTGCTTGTGTTGTCACGGTTGTGTAGAGTGTCACCAGCTACCATTGTGCGGTACGGTGAGCACACACTAAAGTTGAAAACGCGCGCCCGCACACACACACACACACACACACACACACACACACACACACACACACACACACACACACACACACACACACACAAACACACAACACAAACACACACACACACAAACACACAAACACAAGCACACATGGACACACCAAAAATACAATCAAACGGGACAAGTGTGAATACTGAACACGAAACTTTGGCCAAAAAAACATCCCAAAGAGCGTCATTACTAGTCACGTCTTGTTCAAAATAATAGTGTGACTATTCGAAATGAAAAAAAAACAAAAACGCGCACACTATATAATAAATGATAAATCTGTGTTCCGACACGATCATGTTTATTGTTCGACTTTCGATCAGTTCTCCAGTCCAGCACTGCTCGAGGCTATTGAGGGTCTGTGGTAAGATTCAAAGCTGTGGATGATTGGCACACGCTGTTTCAATCAGAGTATTTGATTCATCAACTGGATGCGGACTGGTGGTTCAAAGAACACTAGCTACCATATCGGCTTCTCCTCAGTACCCTGTTATTATTTTTTTCCTCTGATAATATTAACACCAGCGCTGTTTTAAATCTGCACCCTTTCGTATAATACACCATAGGAGGTCACGTTTGTTTGTCGTCAGTGCTTGTCACGTATATTCATAATAATATTATATTTTTGCGTCACGGCACGGTGGAATCAGCTCGAGAATTTTTGGACATGTGTTGTTATTGAAATCATTAAAAAGCTGTGTCATTCGTCTTGATGTTGATAAAAATGTACACATCTATCTTTAATAGAAGTCGAGATATTTGCGATTGAAGAATGTGGGGGGGGGGGGGGTTGTCTGCTTTAAGAAGTAAAATTAGCAAGAAAATGGCAACCAAAGTTTGGTGACTTCCGTATCTTGAGAGACCATGGAAAGTGAAATTTACATTTGTTTTGCCTTAAATCTAAGATTTTCAGTAAAAACCAATTCAAAAATGTGTTTTTAAGGGTGACGGGTGTTGTTCCATAAAAAAAGAATTAGAAAAACAATTACCAAACCGGCGAGAAAATACAGGTCCCTTCGATTTCATTATTTTGACGAGCACCTGATGTCACCACGATGCCTCACAAACATGGTCTGCTGGAAAAATTCCATGCCCGTGGCTGTACTCCGGTGGAGAGCGGGAATTAATGACCAGGCAGAGCGAGATGGCCTTCCTTAATTTTTAAAAAAAATAGAGTCAACCTTTTTTTAATTTTATTTGATTGTTTACATGAGAGAAATACAGGTTGATTTTATTTGTTTTATGAACACATGTGCCTGTACTAACTCTTGTTCTTCGTTACTGCAAGCGTGGAGTTTTAATAGTATCACTATCGATCGCAATCATTTTACCTTTGCACTTTGAAATACAAATGAAATAATAAAAAATCAGGCAAAGAATAATATATTGTTTTATAGGTAAAATTAATCGCTCACTCTTTTTTTTTCCACAAGCACACCCCCCCCCCCCACCAGGCAACGAAAAAACCCACCCTTTTTTAGAATTAAAAAATCATTTTAAAAAGATCACCCGAACTTCAATTTCTTTTACCAAAAAAATGTAAAAAGAATATAGTGTAGTGCCCCTCCATAAAAGTACAGAGCATGGTAGCCTATAGACAGAAATACGTCATGTACCTATAATTTTGGGTGGCAGCCTCTTCGAGAACAACATTAATTAATTAAGAGCTCGGTATAATTTTTTCTAAAAAATCAGTCTGTATATTTATAGAATAAAGGTTCAATTCACGGTAATAAAGGGGAGAATGGATGGGGGCGTATTTTAAACCGAATATTTTCAGACCAGCAGAATTTCACCAAGATATTGAATTATGCAAATAAAACACTTTGATCTTTGAGTGAAAGCTTTAAGGCAGACGTTGTGCATTATTCAAATATATTATTTATAACACGCAAAGCATTAAAAAAGCACACACAGAGAAGAGAAAGAGAGAGAGAGAGAGAGAGAGAGAGAGAGAGAGGGGGGGGGGGAGACAGACAGACAGAGAGACAGAGTGACAGAGAGACAGCGACAAAGAGAGAGGTTGGGGGTGGGGAGAAAGGGTGTTGGGGGAGAGACAGGGGAAAGTAAGAGAGAGAGAGAGAGAGAGAGAGAGAGAGAGAGAGAGAGAGAGAGAGAGAGAGAGAGAAAGAGAGAGAAAGTGAGAGAGAGATGGAGAGAGGGAGCGAGAAAGGGAGAGAGAGGGCGACAAAGAGACAGAGAGCCTTACACACAGAGAAAGGGGAAATGAGAGAGAGTCAGAGAGAGAGATATTGTGTGTGTGGGGGGGGGAGTGAGAGAGAGAGAGAGAGAGAGAGAGAGAGAGAGAGAGAGAGAGAAAGAGAGAGAGAGAGAGAGAGTGGGGGGGGGGGGTCATATTCCATATTCGTGTACAGCAAATGTCGAATACTGTGAACTTGTGTATGAAATAATGAGATTCCTCTGAAGCCAAATGTGGGAAAAATTGGCATATTGCGACCAAGGTATGCTTAAGAAAGAATGCTTCAATTATTGAAATCGAACCGAAATAGATATAAATCTTTTCGGCATGATTCATTATTTTTAGATTTCGCTTCTTGTGTAATAAAAATTTTAATCTAGCCATTAAAAAAAAAGCATGAATGATGTTTATGAATAGAATACGTCATTTGAATTTTCGGTTTTTCCTCCATAAACTGTCATATTTGTCATTGACACTCCTCCTTTCTTCGTAAAATCCTCCAAGTCTGCTTCTTTTTGCGGGCATTAACAGATCTGAACGTCGCTGGGTAGTTAATGATTTCAAACCTATCTCTGATTGTACGCGAAAAAGTGTAAATTACCATAACATTCTTACACTGGTGATGTATTAAAGTACGTATAAAGGAATGACATTCTCTCTTTGGCTTACTCAGAAAATACACTGTATTTAACTATTGTCTTTTTATTCGGGGGGAGCGGGATGGGGTAGCCTTTTTTCTGGGGGAGTTGTCTTTGTTTTTATCTTTGGCTTTTATTTTCCTTATAAGGAAGTACAATACTATGTACTGAACATGGGCGCAGACACAGACAGTATCCAACATACTTAATCGTTGTTTCTTAAATAATAACAAGTTGTTGTTTTTTACATATTGCATTGTACTATTTTCCCCTCAGGACACGTTGGAAATGCGGGGCAGCCCCAAATGTTCGACACCGCTCGTGGAGAAAAGTCAAGCCAACACCGAGTCCGTGTACGACGAGACAACCCTGGGTCACCACTGAGGTCCTATAGGTTGTACATCATGATTGTGGAGACTTGTCTCACACAAGCAACAAGCTGTCTCACACGACATAATGTATCGTCGAATAGCTGTTCAGTTGTTCTAAGCCTAGAAAACAACATTTTTCAGGAGGGAGAGAAAAAACAGGCTTTCATTATTTTAGCGATTAGGTTTCTCTTGTATGTGCATTATGTACTCTTTGCAATTTTTTCCCCTTTGATTGTTTGTTTATTTGTTTTAAAAAATTGAGGGGGGTGGGGGGAGTTGGTTTCTAATTCG